TCATAATTTCCATACCCAGCGCAACTGGCCAAGCAGAAAGATATTGTCTGCCGCGGCTGAGTCTTGAACCCGCGACCTTCAAATTACTAGATCGACGCTCTACCAACTGAGCTACACGGTCAGACGGATGTATATTAAGACTGGAAATTATGAACTATATACTGAATGTCATAAACATACTCGTTTATATTAATTCAGCATGGAACCATACTAGTTCTGCAAGTGTTATGTTAGCCTATATGTTGTAATATGATAATAGTCGTCACTCATCGAACAGTAGCCTACTAGAGATGCAGGGGCTTGTCTCTGATATGAAGTCAGGGAAAAAGTATCATAAACCAACAAGCAGAACCCAAGATAATTAAATATCACTATTTCTTGTATATATTTGTATTCTAAACGATATCTTGTATTCTTTGTTATACAGTATGTCTATAATTTATCTTTTTATATGTATAGCTATATTAGTATACTAATGGGTAATAACAGTGACTTGACTTAGCCTTGGGTTTTGGTAGGCAAATCATATATATATTCCGGGGTAGGGGTAAAACGCGGAAACGGAACGGACCAGCGGAACCGGAATGGCAGAACCGGAAAAACGGAAACGGAAAAGAGGGTAAAACGCAGAAAAGAGGGTAAAACGCGGAAAAGGGGGTAAAACGCGAAAAAGAAGGTAAAACGCGGAAAAGAGGGTAAAACGCAGAAAACAAACTTTGAAACTTAGCATGACAAAATTACTGGATGTTGATTGGTTGAGAGGAGTACAATTATTTCATTAATTGTACTGCAATGTGAAATGAAATTGCCGTGGAGGAACTAAATGAAAATACAAACAAAAGCACCAAATTTTGGTTGAAAGTCTGGCAGGACTGGGCTTTGGCGAGAGAATATGATGTTGACATTGAGAAGTACGTATCATGCAATGTTGTCATGCTAATAATAAACAAGTACGGCTCGTCCAATTTTGGCAAAATTTCCAAACATCACTTGTACTATTAATCCCTAATTGTACTCGCCATCGCATGATTACCTATACTAACAAAATCAAATTTAATCTAATTAAATACCATAATAAAACGAAGTAAATGTACCTCATTACTGTACTTGAGTTCTATTTTTGAGAAGTCGGCATGTGACAAAGTAAACTTTCTTTGGAGTACTTTTACTTGGAACGAAGTCGTTTAATTAAACTGCAGTAACGTTTTACTTATAGTTATTTTCATCATCTTGCGAAGTATTTTGTTACTGTCTAACGTTTGTTTAATTTTACGTGATGTATTCAGGATTTATTTTAATTTTGGGGTAGGTATTAGGACCTCTACATTCCTCTGGATGGATTTCTTATATCTTCAACGGGATCTGGAGAGTAGACCATGCCGAGAAATATTGTATATTAGGTGCACGCATATATTTATATAATGCGTGTGTTGTTTTGTATGTCAATCCATTGGAGAAGTCCCCCCCCCCTTACACGCCAAAGACAATAGTACTTTAGTACTTTTGCTTTTTACTTCAAGTATTTTTAAGGATAGTTTGTACTTTTACTTAAGTACGTTTTGCTTCCAGTCCTTTTTACTCTTATTCAAGTCGTTTATTGTTAATTACTTCTACTTTTACTCGAGTACAAATTCAAAGTAATTTAGGCACCACTGAGTATAGTGGACATACTGCGTTTACTTTTGTAAAGCAAAGATGCCTTTTTCGCCTCAGAAGGAAGACTATTCCACTATACTTAAAACTTCGTTTAAGATAGTTTGTTTTAAGTTTTGGAAGTGCTAGATCAATATCATTACTTCGAAGATTATATTCTCTATTAAGATCTTTAATTATTATATACTGCTCATTAAGAATTTTGTACATCAAAACGCTCTTTACCCGAATGACTTCTTACATCATATGCCCACCGACTAACAATCATACACCTACTAGGTAAAGGCCGGTTTACACCAGCAAACTACTGTGGTCAAAGTGGCGTCATCTCGCCCAAGCAAACCTGTGACTTAAATACAGTTTTAAATTTAATTTGTGTTTTTGAAGGGTGTTACTAGTGCAAACTTTGTTAACAAAAGCATACTGCATGCAGTGAGCACAAAAACGTTGATAGTGTAAAGGGCAGAATCCACGGC